AGGACAAGGTAATGGCCCAGCATCGCCCTTAGAATGGTTCTACCTCAGGTTTTGTTTGAGCAAGCGATCTAATACAAATGATGCGCGACAGTAGCCGTTCGAACTCAACGGTAAACGCTCCCAAACGTGCACAAGTTAGTTAAATTAGTTTACATCGACCGAGGCGGAAAGCCCACGTCCAGGAGAACAAAACTGAAAAATAAGAGTTGGAAATAGGGACCAGCACACACAAATTCTAGAGAAATGTGGTGGAATACACAGATAAACGAAGTACTCAAGAGCCAGCAAAATCAAGCAGTCGTTCACTAACCTGGGTAGGTCTGGTTGCTAGATAAAGAAAGCTGCAACCAGATATCCGGTAGGTAATGGTACAGAGCACAGGCCAAACGGGTTGGAAAACCCAGGTAACGGACAAGGCTACGGAGAGCTAACACGGAAAACTGCAAAACAGACGGGGGGAGGGGAGCCGGAAGGAAAGATTCAATGTGGAAATCAACAGAAATTATACTTCACTCCATCAAGTTTGAAAAAGTAAGACATCACGAAACACACTAAACGAAAGGGATAAATGGGCACCTTTGGACAGCGGTTGCTAGATCCACAACACATGAAGCTGTAACAAATATTCACGATCCACACATCTCTCAGGATTGAGCCGAATGTCAAGTATCATACGAAAATTCGTAAAAACTCTGGTGCTTAACTTTATCAGAAGATTGTTAATGATGTGGTGTTTAAAGGAGTCCATACGTCGAAGGGCTACAACAATATACAATTAGACAGGTGCATTATTCAGAAGCAGTCTTCTGTCAAGTTCCTAAAAAAGGCATCTTGGAAGTCGGAGCTTTCTCAGTATTGATGAAAGAGCACTCAACGAGGTGAGCCACGAGCGCTGTCCTTGCCTTCCTTTCTCTATGACAACGGGCAAACTGGGTTGGATGGTTGTTTCACGAGAGCCATATGAAATGACATGGCTCCGAGCACATAACGGACTCGTTACTGGATGAGGCGCTGGGTCACTTCGACGGCCAGCAGAAACGTGATTATAGTGTGAATTTGGGAACTTCGTTTCCGTCTACGCCGAAAAGACGAGAAGTACTGAAGGATGGATGGAGCTACATTCCAAGTGCGAGTCAGGCAAACTACTGGTCGGCCACTCGTGGACGGTTGTGTTCAGCCGGGAGGTAGCGGGTTCGAAACTCGCTGGAGCTTCGTGAGGTGCGCACTGCCGACGACCCCCAATAAAAATGAAGTAGCTGTACATTGCCCCTAGGTCTTTCGGCGTCGATTAACTTCACTTCCAGGACAAAATCCCAAATGAGCAATGAGCATATATTTGGTAAATTACTCTTATATTACATATAACGGCATCTGGTTGCAAACTGACGAGTCGTCACACTAAGTGTATGGTATCCTCCCTTCTAAAACAAGGTTCAAATCTACATCAGAAATAACCGCCTGACAATCCGCAGGCTCAGCAGATTTCCGACCCACATTAGAGGAATTTCACCAAATGGACGTACTCAATCAGTTTCTGATAGCTTCAGCCTTCAGAAAACTGCATGCATACACACATGCAGATCAAAATGATACTTAGAGCCTTTGCGCTCTAGGAAGGTTGGCAGTAGTTATTCGAAGGCAGCTTCCAGCGTTCAATACGCACCATCTTAATACACACAAAAAAACACTAAGGGATCGATGCTTATCACCTGTCAATCAGCTGAGGGTGGCTAAAACTAGGTGTGTATGGAACGGACTCCACATTGAACTAGCACGAATGAACAAGTACAATTGAGAGCGGAAAACCGTAGGACGAAGAACCAAACAGCTAGTTAGTCGATTTCTGACAAACTTGGGTTCGGTGTATGCCGCACGACCTGAAAACATCGATTATACTGATTTTTCCCTATAATGGTGTTATTTTGGTTACAAAACGGGGCCGCGGATCCATTCAGTAACCACAAATCGCATCTGTAACTAGCGCATAAAGCATTAAAACGTGAAACAAGTCGACAAAAAAGCTCCGCTAATCAGATATTACGATTCGTTTTCGCACAACTGACCAATGAAGACTATTAAGATGCTGACATTCGCAAATAAACCGGATACACACAGAAGCATCACAATAGGGAGGGAGCTGATCTAGGCGAAACAAAACTCTTCCAAGTCTCTCACGAAGAACCCATATGTAAACAATTCCAGATGACTATCATGCGGATACTAACCTACACCATCAGAATTATGTTGGTTTGCCTGGAAAGCAGACAAAACGTGTTGTTGTATACATTAGGTGTTGGAAAGAAAAGAGTTTAGGTTAGCAAGAGAGAAAAGACTAGTCTTTCCAAGCTAACGAAAACACGTGCGTATAGAGTGCCTATCGAGGGACACCTATATGAATCACACCATACTGAGAAATCTGTGAATCCCACGACCAAAAAAGCAGTATGGTGCTGTCAGCTGATGTGTGCGTGTGCATCCAACAAATCAGGTCGCTTTTCATGGCAATGATTGGCACTTTCAATCGATCAGCGGTTGGATTCGAAAATCTGCTTTTGGCAACGCAGAGCGGNATACTCTTTAAATGCGCTGTGGTAGTCGTTTCCAAGTAAGAGCATACCGGAAAGAAGGTTTTCATTACTTCTCATCCAGTTACGTCTTTGTATGTTCGCGTCCTGCTTAACGTTGCTGCCCAAAGTATCAGCATGCGCAATCTGTACGACTATCGGTCAGCTGTCCGCTGGCTTTCGGAGACTTTACCACCCAACAATGGCACACAGATCCCCGGATGAGACGTTTCTTACCGTCACGGACAGACTGGATCTTATTATGGCGTGACAGTTTGTGTGTCTGGGTAACGAGCTGAACTATACTGGGAGTATCTCTGTAACGCTCGCACAATCTCATACCAGTTTGCCCAATGGCTAAACACAATCTTGTGGTTGGTAATTTGTTGAAATATTGGTAGCTCGGGTGAGTTTATTGGTTGTTGATCAGGTTGCTGTTGATCTGTTCGCCGAGCTTGGCAACCAATACAATCGTGTGGTCCTCCAGGTTTTGGATTAAAACGTGCTTGGCAAACTGCTACTTGAAAAATGCAATCCATTGAAACTTCCCACTTAAGACCACTACCTTGTGGTAGGATTTTCGAGCCTCGTCTAAGGACACGACTGTCTACCTGTCTAGCTTTGGTCACCCTCGCTTTGTTCTAGTCCGTACAAAATCGCGATCGAACCGGCCAAAAATAATCTCACGTCAACTCAACATCGCGTGGTGGATCGATTTAATTGCTGAACAGAAGAGAACAGGATTAATAATACCCTTTTCGTGTGCCTATCCGCTAGAGCTGGCATCAGGCATCTTCTATCGGTTCTGCCCGCGATATATGTGCCTCAGTTGGCACATGCATGCTGCATATTGGAATAAAGAATTCAGCACCCGAGCACAACTGCTGAGCTAGCTGTCTCACCACTCCACTCGCCAGAGACCGCTACGACAGATGGCGCAGTGCTCCGCGTCGTACGAAGTCACCGAGGTTGACTGGATACCTGCTGATAGACGCTTCTGGGAAAAACGTTTCTGAGTAAATCTCACAAACGCCGCGTCGTCGTTGTCTCCTTAACTCGTATGCTCCCACCCTAAGTGCCAGCAGCTCCGATGCCATCACAAACAAACTTTACGGCACTTCAAGTTCCCTGTTAAGACGGTCGAAAAATTCAGATATAGCCGCTAGAGCCTTAAATACACAAACGAGCTGATTTAGTGCATTCGAGACTCAACTGGGTGGTCGACTCACAAAAGACTTGCCGGTACGGCCCCGGTTGTGTGCTGACTGCACTAACTTCCGGAATAACCGAAATCGTCCGGGTACATAGTGCCCTGCAATAACGTGCCAACCATCGACCTAAAGGATCACATCACCACTAGGCAAAAATGGCGTCGATCAATCACTAAATGTTGCCTCTTTTGTGGAAGTTTCGCGGATTCTAACGACACACTCGTCTCAAGGCTCTTCTCTCTTCATACACTGAGGTCACACAAGGGGTAGACAACTCGTTTGGCAAGTGAGATGTTGACCAATCCTGAAGCTAAATGAATCCATCAGAACCATGTCCCAGACTCCCCCCTTACTCCACTATCCAGTGTCAACTCGAAATGGAAGGAGATTGCCTCGTCCGTACACAATGCCGAGAGTTTGACCTGCGGCATGATATTCAAGCACTGGATATCAGACAGAACAGTGGCATTGCTTGGATCTCAGAGAAGTATTCCTACTGGTCCCAAACATAACAGTCATAGAGGGATCAGCTTGACTTCAGTTGTATCGAGATTCCTGAAGGCGCACATTTTTCGTCGCCCCATAGTGAACCGCAAACTATTGAGTCGAGAGCAGTAAGCAGGATTCCGGCCTGGAACTGCTTGTGTTGGCCATATCTTCACACTCTGTTAGGTACTCGAACAACGCCATACGTATAACTGATCCGTAATTTATGGTCTGAAACTGCTCTTCTTAACGCGCTTGCTCAGCACCGAAAATTGACAATACACCAAGTTATAGCATTGTCAGATCTGCGTGAAGGGGGTTCCCCACAAGCCTTCGTACAAAGAGTACTGTGCGACAAGGTTGTCCACTCTCCAGCTCTACTCAACCTGGTGATGGGTGAGACAATGTGACGAATGCCAAAGGCTCTGAGAAACCACTGCGTTCAAACAGCTACTGATGAAAAACTTGTGGATTCGTGTTCACGGATGAACTGACCAAAGTTAGCCGGTCCTTTTGTGTGTTCCCACACACGGTACATTAAGTTAGCAAGCAGGCTCGCCAAGCAGATCAACTGTCACCTGTAACCAATCACTAAACACTCTCCTTATGATCTACAGAAAGGTACTCGAAGCTGTGGAACAATGCAGTCCATGTGTGAGCTTCGACTGTTTTGTGAAAAATGAGGTCAAGGCATGAATATCTAAGGACCGGGCCGCGATTGTTGATTTGAGACATTTATGGTGGCAAGGCGACATGTCTCAAGGAACATGTATATCAGGCTACAGGGCGGTAAACGGCAAACGTGTGACTTCTAAAGGATCTCTATAGCGAGCTACTGTGTACCAGTTGAGCTACGTACAACTGTATCGCAGAGACTAAATGACTGAGGAAACAAGTTTTTCACCCGAAGGGGCAACGGAAGAAAGTCTTATCCAAGCGGTACATTCTCCCACGCTCCGACAAAAGGCCAAACGATCCCCAGGAGATTGCACCTTATAATGGTCGGACACGGAATCAAAAATGAAGTCCGTTTCGAACGTTGATAACCTCCAAACTTGTGACTAAGGCGCGTGGCTTCAGAAAACTTCAGGCCTTAACAGAATTTGTTGTGGGGCGCATTTGGAGCGGTATACTTCAAACTGCCAAACCACTCGTCACCTCAGATGCAGGATGCCGAAACTAGATCAGTCTCAACACTAATCGACGTGAATAGCTAAATAAACCAGGGATCTCTACGACTTTCAAACAATTGAAGAACAGAAAAATCCCTGGAGAAGATGGGAGCCCAGCTGCCCCTTTAAGTTCTGCATCTCCGCATTCCCCGAACTACTCCACAATCCATTTCCTTCAACATGGAAAATTGAGTCCGTTCACTGAGGTGAGGTACTTGAGCATTACTATGGATCCGAAAAAGACGACAAAACGGTCTGGGATAATCAATACGAAGACCAGTTTTACTGAAATTGGTTGCAAAATATTTTGGTCTCTTCTGCTGCAACCCTGTCGAGTAAAAGATATACACGCAAAGCTAAATCAGTCGGGCTACAATTACAGAAGTTGCGTGTACCAGGCATCTCCTCTATGACGAAGTGCAGAACGCCTACTACATCGACGCAGCTTTCGATCCGATTAATCGTGAATTTCTGTGAGTAATCCTCTTAACTGAGTGCTCTGCGAAACCCCATAAATCCCAAAAGGCATATTGCTCAGCATCCGAGTACCGAGCAACGAACGACTGAACGTAAAAAGTCCGCCCTCTCTTCAAGATAATTGCATTATAAGTTATGGCTGTGGAATAACGCTGGTTACACTCTTCCGAATGCCGGCTCATTTTCAGAAAGGTCTATTTGAGAGGCGGATTACCTTACATTCAAAAGAGCCTATCTGAAACCGTCATTACTTTGTTCTCTGGATTGTAGTTGAGTGTATCTGGGTTTTTTGGCTTACAGGGGCGAGATGACCCAAGTGGTTAGCGCGCGAATTTACTGACCGTAAGGTCCGTGGTTCGAACCCGACCTCTGCCATTCGACTTCCCCTGTCTAGGCTTGGGCGACCTGGCAGTATCCCAGCCCTCGTGCTTCCTCCAGGTGGCATGGCAACTAGGTACCGAACGATTTTGGTTTACAGAAAGAAGGTTCTGATAAAAGGATGTTCCATGACCAGCATCGACCGAATCGACAAAAAGGAGGCCAACAAGAACTAACTAGCAGTTCATAACGACTAAGAGGGGTGAACAAGACACCCGCGTACTTTCAGAGAAGGTAATAGGTAAAATTAATGAGGAAGAATATCACAACAGAGTGAAAATTGGTAGCAGTTATTACTTTGGAATGATCCAGAAGCTTCTGTAAACTCTGGAGGACCACGCTGTCTAGCCAATCGAACAACCAGTGGGAGTTCGGAACCGGGGGCAAGCAACTATGGGAATCGGGTAGCTGAGCAGATCCATCCGAGCGCGGCTTAATTGGCGCGGGGTCCGACTGCCCGACAGTAGCTTCACTGTTATCACTGAAGTGAAGAATGAACAGAATAAATGTCCTAGTTGCAATATACCAAAGAGATGTTCGCATCGACCGAGGGAAGAATAGGACCGGAGCACCACTTTACTAGGATGAAATAAGGATGTAACATGATCGAATGAGTGCAAACCTCGAAAACACTAAACAACAAGATGGTAGGCTGGTATCATGTCCGTATTGGTCTGTCACACCGACAGATACCGATGGATCTCCACGCACACTGCGTGATGCCAGCTCGGTTCGCACTGATCTGCAAACGCATTCACTTGAACGTTCTGTACGTAGTGTAAAGATCGAAGGATGGATAGAGGGAAGCAGTTCAAAAGTCACCAACATGTTCAACTGTTAGTTCACAACTGTCAAGTGTAGAGGGCTGAACAGTAGAGGCGCAAAGCATGCGAAAGGTTGCCATGTACCCCATACTACTCATAAGTCGAGCCCAGACACGCCTATGACTAGCTGGTCACAATCAGCTTTAGCAACCTGTGTGGGCTTAACATACTAGAATGTCCAGAATATCGAGGTGGATGATTCGCATGTGTGCAGGGACTACACATGTATGATTACGTTAATTCATAAGCCAGAACGGCAAGCAATGCAATCCTGTATGGTAAAATACCACGCAAAGTAACCGAAAAATAGTGCAACATAGTAAAATAGAGTGCGTCGTAATACCATGTATTATAAATGAGATACCAACGAATAGAAGAACAGTCAGACAAACAAACAGACAAACGAAACAGTGAGGACTGGATGGTGGTACTCATCCGGATGACAGCGATGGCTGTCTACTGTCAACTCGTTCACCGTATCGCGCAAAGAAATGCCCAAGAGAAGAACGTCCGAACTATCAATGACGGTATTTATTGGTCCAGAGTCACGTGCAGTAGTCAGTTTTCCTGAGAAAGTGGGATAAACGGGTGTGACCGGCATTTCTCCCCTCACACTGATTGATTTGAAGAATTCGATTTCGCAAATCGAATTTAGCCAGAAAAAAGTGAACGTGTCTGATTCAGAGCAGCCGAGGAGGAAAAAATCTTGACTAGATGAAGGAAGCGTATCCAGTAGAGGAACGAAATGCACTGGAGGTGATCCACTCATCAACACCGGCGTCACAATAAAGTGGTATGAATCCAAGTGTCACGTACACGGAAGATATAACAATAAGGTGTGAAATTGTGTCGGCCGTTGTTCAATAAGTTAGCAGCACTACTCATATTTCGAAGCCTAGTTATAAATCTTCATTTGTGAACCAGACAACGGACTAGAGTAAGATTGACGAAATGAACTCATGCCGTATACACCAGCGCACGAACTACAAACGAAAAAGCTCGGTTTCAAAAAAAACATTGTTAATATCCTGTGCAAATCAGACTGTCGTCTGATTTTCCCAGACTGAAGAATATTAGAGGAGCACAAGTGAAAAAAATGTGGCGATAGGTTTCACGGCCGGCATGAGGTAACCTGGTAAAAAATACACGTGACCAGAATGAACGATGGAGCTTTTGGAAATAAATAACGCGTCAAAATCTACCTGGAGCCTACAGGTGTGCAGATGCCTCCTAAATCAGGCCATCTGAAATAAGCACCCAGTCCAGATCAACCACTTCACATCAGTGTGAGGTGACGCGTTAACCAATGAAAGTACGACTGTCGGGGTTATTCCCTACAATGTGTCGTACGGTTGTTGGATGCGGCCCCTGTGGGTGACCACCTCAAGACCATAGTGATGAGGGGATTGCGGAAAAAGGTCTTATTGAAATGGATTGAGGAATAGTTAGCCATTCATACACATACTATTGTTAATTTATGTCCAGCATCTTGTGTGTGGACTTCTTCGGACGAAAACTCATAGCCCCAAGGAGAATGCTCACGCACAGGGCACCCAAAAAAGTTCAGACAGCAATGAGTTTAAAATACCTGGGTAGTTTTAATTGACGAAAACACCCCACAACGCTGGGTAGTCTGACTAGGATGTGGTGTCATGCTCTCTAATGAATTCTGTTAAATCTAGGTGATGTAGGATACCAGAAGAAGGTAAACAGAATCAAGTGGACCTCAACCGTGAACGGAGATAGGAAATGCGCCAAGTCCCACCCGAGTGCAAGTACTGCAAGATGTGTGGAACACGGTGGGCAGACGTACAAAGTGCTCCATCGTGGTCCAACTGGCTTTATTTGTTGCTAACTACTGATCCAGTAGGCGTCAGCTACTGGAAAACATTCTAGGCCTCGAGATAAAAGTGACCAGAAGTGACAGGGTTCTCGTGGACTTGTATACACAGGAGATTCCTCAGTATGAGGGAAATTCTATTTTGTGACCAAAGATAAGCGAGTTAATCGATATTACACTTTGCGGCGTATTTTCTCCATCGCTTAAAGTCGCTGCAAGCAGTACAAACAAATCAGTGCACAAACTCAGACTGCTCGCTCCTCTGGGTGGGAAGTCCATGTTAAAAGTTCAAGGCCCATCCCAAAACAGAGGAACATTCTAGATCCTCTTTTAAGGATCACTTAGGAGACCGACGATCGTTAAATGTTACATGAATGGCACAGGCTCACTAAAGGCGCCACAGACACTACCTTTCTCATTTCGTTCGGGGCCGTTTACAGTTTGTAGTGAACCTGGAACTAGTCATCATCAATACAAGCGTCGAAGCAAATAAAAGAATGAGTCACCCAGAAGATAACGTTATGTCAACAACAGTGTATCTAAAGAAGGTCCAATGGGTCTCAGAAACTGTGGTTCCGGTGTCTGATGGGGAAGATGTCATGGTGTTCGGCGAACAGATTCTCAACCGATGTGGCTTCCTACCAATGGGGCACAAGAGGGTGCGAGTTGCGTTATACCGTCATGTACGCAGCAATCAAAGGAACACTGTCTGATCGTTTCGCGCAAGCAAAACGTTGAGTGGTTGGAGTGTACACTTTGACATGGCCTGTGTGAGACGTACTGGCTACAATGCAGTGAGACCGAATCGTACAATAACCTCAAAACTGGGACTCATTGGAATTAATAAATGGATACGTTAAATAGATTAATCAAATAAGAAAATTTAGATAAACAATTTTAACTGAATAATTATAATTCGTAGTTAAACAGACTAGGAAGAACGGATTTCGACGAATACGGAACGGTGGTCGACAGGGATGGAAAATGATGGACCAGAATAAAAACTAGTGCATGTCAAGAATTAGACGCTTAGGTACTACACTTCACACCTGGTAAGTTGTAGGCGCAACCCAACATTACACACAACATAAAGATGAACGAAACAAGGCTTTGTCTACCGGGTAGCATTCGATCCTGTTGCCATTCCATGAAGAGACGTTCAGGTGCTGAAGAGCGTCTAGCTGAATGGAGCGTGACCACTAACTTTGCAAAAGATGGTACAATAAGATGGTCACCCGTTTTTTACCAAACCATTCAAAGTTTATTGGATTTTTGGACGGCACCAAGTACTGGTGAGCACTGACCACAGATTTACTCCGGCATAGGAAAAGCTGACTAAACCTTTGTGGATTTTAACCGTAGCAAATTTCCTCAGTGTTCAACAGGTATGGATGAGGGACAGTGAATTCACCAAAATACACCACAGCCTGTGGGAAATGAGCAATGTTGTGTAAAACTTACGGGATGGGGGAAAGTTAGCAGTAAAGATCTACAAAAAAGATGCACTCAGTTTTCGGGAAAGTGATCCTGTGTAGGAAAACGATGGACATAGGTTGAGCTATTAGAATGACATCCTTACCTGATCGCTTGATTGACAAAATCAGTGGAGGCCAACTTTGCAACGGAAGCAGCCATCAGGCCGAGCTGGATGCAGTGTGCATCGTAATCTGTAAAGATAAAATGCACATACTTTACGGAGATGAGGTAACGCTTGAGATGCGTCCAATTGTTGTGGATGACGAACCAAGACCTTGTTTTCACCACGAACCACACACACGGTGGTGAAGCGGTAGTAAACTGATAAGACTAGTACATCACGGTGACGAATGATCAATGCCCCCTTGATATAGTTACTTACTTCTTCCTCAAGGCGGTTGGCTTAAAAAATGCAATGAATCAACTTCACATGTGTCCAATCCTATTGTTTCCCACGAACAACGGTCAGCTCTACTGACTAAGAACAAATTCGATTCTAATATTCACTCTTGTACGCTACATGCAGACCAACATGATGATGCCAGTCCGACTTTGTTTCATCCCCATGGGCGGCAATACACCGGTAGTGAAGACTGGTGCTTGACTGCTACACAGCCAAGAAAGAGTAAAAGAGAAAAAGAAAGGGAGGGCATGGAAGCTTACTGCGACAGGCTTAAGGATCCCAGAGAAAATGGACAACAGCGAGGGATACGTACCCTCCAAAACTATTGAACTAGATACACCTTAGCCTCACGGTGGAGCAGGATACAACTAACGGGATTGAACCAACGTGCTTTGCGGACCACCCACCACCAACTTATCATATAACAACAGATAAGCGTTAGCTAGACAGCCCGGCAAAGAAGCGACATAAAGCACGGCATTAGGGCCGGTTACGTGTCGTATCCTGTAGGGTTTCCGACCACGCACAAGATGAATCGCGGGTAACCAACCAAGGAGGGTGTAAGGATCCCAAAGTGCTCAAATTTACAGTAGTCAACTTCATTTAAACTACAGTGGTCAAATACTTAAAGAGACTTGAGGCCTTCAGATGGGAGGCCACTTTCCACGGTAATAGAGCTTTCACAATACACACACGGGTTATGCAGCTGTCAAGACACCGTTCATCTGTATCGTCATTTCGATGCCTAGCTGCCATGCTACCCGAGACGGTTCAGTGGTTAGAGCGCGAATTTACTGACCGCAAGGTCCGTGGTTCGAACCCGGCCTCCCCACATCGACTTTTCCTGTTTAGGTTTGGGCAACCTGACAGTATCCCAGCGTACGTGCTTTCTTTCGGGTGGCGTGGCAGTTAGGCGCCGAACGATTACGAAGAAAGCACGAGGACTGGGATACTGCTAAGTTACCTAAGCCTAGACAGGAGAAGTTGAGATGCAGAGGTCGGGTTCAAACCACGAAGTCTTCCGTCAGTAAATTCACGCTCTAACCACTGAGCCATTTCACTCTTTTTAAGCAAACCTATCAACAAACGCAAACTCCTGAAGTTTTGAAGTTGTACATAGGGGTGGGAAATACTGAACCAAAACCCTACACTTTTAGGGTGGAGGATGCACAACGAATAGCAGGATTGCCTCCGATACCGTAATTTGTGCGGACACCTTATCATCTAATGGCAGAGCAATACCAATAACATAATCTGAATCTAACCACTTTCTCCGAGTGTGCTTCCAAAATCCAGATTCACGGTCCCTTGGTGAGTACAACCAGTGACGGTGATGATGACGACATCAAACAAAAATCAAGCAGGTACACCATGGACCAACTCCACTAGCTGTAGGCAAAGTTTTGGGTAACACGTAAACTCCGATGCGAGAACTATGGAAGTAAGTTCCAGGATATTTACAAACCTTGGCGGTATTTCTCGTTGAACGAGTTCAAGCGAAAGAACTAACCTGTCCATTGAATCGAAGGCTTCTTTTGAGTACATATAAACCGTCAGTTCGTCGGTGGGGCCTGACAACTAATCGTTCGAATGTAACGCAGCTTCGGTGCACAGCTGTAGTGTCACGCGATAGAGGCACGAAGACTCAGATACTTGCCCGAGCCTAGAAAGGGCATTCGTGACGCTGCTGAAGATCTTCGCGTAATGTGAAGATGCTTGCAATGCAATCCCTAGCTGGTCGACATCCTGTTTCAAGGTACTCGAGATATTCGTGATTGTGGAGCGTTTTACGCGTCTTGAAAGTAGCACTAGTTCTAAACGTAGTGGCAAAAACGAGATCGACACATAAACCTGCAAGTATCGAGTTGCTGCTATTAAGAAGGAGGCATTATCTCTTGGGAAAGCACTTCAAGCTTATCACTGACCAGCGGTCGGTTTCCTTTATGCACTGTATGTCGTGGAAAAGTAAGGCAAAAAATGACAAAATTTAGCAATGGGAATGGTATATCTGTACATGTACGTTCGGATCGCGCCTCCGCAGTCACATGTGACGAATTGCCCACAGTCTTACATGACAGAGGAGTTCGCACCCGTCGAACAACTGCTTATAATCCCCAGGGGAACGGGCAAGCCAAACGCCTCCACGGGACATTTTGGAGCGCAATCCAGCTCAGGCTGAAGGCGAAACGCCTTCAAATCTGTCACTGGGAGTCGGCTTTATCAGATGGTCTACACCCTATAAAGTTCCTTCTCTGCGTCTTCACGAATGCCAATCCACATGAAGGAATGTTTCGGTCTTAACGGTCGGTCATCCTGTGGTCTGTCTTTATTGACTAGGCTAACTACTCCAAGACCTGTTTTGCTGAAAAAATTTGACCGTACCTCAAAGTATGAACCAATCGTTGAAGAAGTCGGACTTACAAGTTGCAATCCACATTACGCCTACTTTTTATCCACCAGAAAAGAAGGCACTGTATCCGTCCACCATCTCACTCTTTGTACCCACCCACATGTCAACGAGTTAACGCGTACCCCATTCAGTGAAGGCAATGGCGCCCATACACGCACGCGCCTTTGCTCAGTAACGTTGAAGATAATTTCCATTATACTTCAGTCTCATCCCCGTGCCCGGGTGACGCACTTGCATCTCCAAATACATATGACCCTCGCATCTCTGATTTAGCCAGGCTCAAGCAACGTATACGACTTTACATTCCAAGAATCCGAGAAGCTTGATCACACTTTTCATTACCCCCTTAGTAGGTTTCTACAATCAAGCTTCATTCAGTTCGTGTCCGAGTTATCCCTATCTATAAACAATCCAACGACCCGAGTGAATGTCATGGCTATTCTTTGTGTTCACATTATCACTTCGTATTAACCATGTTTTTGCCTCCACGTTTGGATTATGTACGTCTATTCTTAGACAGATAAAGCGCTATTCATTCTTGTCCTTGCGCTCAATCATGATTTACATTCCATCCGTAACAAGGTGACTGTTTCCCAAAGCCCCTTGCGTAGTAGGCCACGCTATGACTCGCTAAATTGTGGTTCACAAAGGAAAGAAGTAGGAAGCACCAGAAGAAGGCCTGAGGACTGGTAAACTGCCAAGTTGCCCAAGCCTAGGCAGAAAAGGTTGAGAGGCAGAAGTCGGTTTCGAACCACGAACCTTCCAGTCAGTAAATTCGCGGTTTAACCACTGAGTCATCTCGCCCCGGGTCACAAAGCATTTCCACTGCTGGACTGGGAGTCCGTTTCTGTACTTTAAAGTTCAACGAAAATCTGTACCAAACAAGGGGATACACCTGTGTACTTAGGACGACCGATAATCAAGGGTTAAACCACGTCATCAGTATGTGATGGCGATGTAGCCTATCTGAATATAGAGCCCCTCAGTTGTAGGGGGGTGCCCCCGTAGCACAACGGCGCCCACTGAGTTTAAACCCAGTACTGCTGAGAAAGAACTGGTGGTCAACACAAGGTTGTAAAAGACGTTCATTACGATCATTGCGTTCTGCGTTAGAAACCAAAAGCATCACCAGAGTGTGCTTCCGAAGAACTGAGCATCCTACCTGTGCAAGAAAATCTCCATGCCCTTCGTGATAAACAAGACACTGGTCAGTTCACGGTAGGTGTCTTTCAGTGAATAAGATCTACATTCCTTGGGTTCGATACGATAAACAAAGTCCATTGAATAGTTCGACCAGTGCGAGTTTTTATCGAGATATAGAGCTGGATACCGACCTAAGTCTGCCACCCTGATGTGGCGGTCGGGCTTGAGTGCTGCAATGATCCCACGGGCTAAATTGGCAGGAACTCCGTTGCACAAAGTGGAACCATGCCAGGAATACCAAGGAGGCAGTCAGACTAAGAGAAGCGAAACATCGCAATACGAGTAATTGTGTCACGAGGTGGTATAGGGGTAAATTCGTGCTAGCCTCTGCGACAGGAGTCTGAAGGCAGTAGGGTGTTTCCCCAAAGCGATCAGTACGTCCAAATTCATGCTGCCTTCTCTCAAAAAGGGAAGGCTTAGAGAAGGTTGGCTCTGAAAACCGAACACTCCGATCACCCAACGGTTGACCGTGACCGCCGGTGCATTACCCAATACGATCGGAGTACTTTTAACACCAAAGAGTCTGGTGTTGCTCAAAGGTCACCTGCTGCACACAGCCGCATCAGGAGTGAGACAGTGATGCAATCCTCCTGTACCCCAAAGGGAAGGCTTAGAGAAGGTTGGCTCTGAAAACCGAACACTCCGATCACCCAACGGTTGACCGTGACGGCCGGTGCATTACCCAATACGATCGGAGTACTTTTAACACCAAAGAGTCTGGTGTTGCTCAAAGGTCACCTGCTGCACACAGCCGCATCAAGAGTGAGACAGTGATGCAATCCTCCCTGTACCCCCGGGGTTAGGCCAACCCCCTTCACCGAACAGGTCAGAATATGGGGTCAAGGGACGGTCCCCATTGCCTCCCGGGTCAGACTTTTTAATCAGAGGCTGGGGGAGGTTCCCCGAAAAAATCCTGCATATCCCAATACCTTGTGAGTCAGACTTCCAATTCAAAAGTTCAAAGAGCGGTACATCATGCCACATCGACCGTCACGTGGTGTTATTAGCCGGATCGCCTTACTAGCTGCATACAGCAGGGTGGGTAAGTGAAAACGGACTACTGCTTATGCCTCTTTTCTCTTCCATGCACTTCTTCCCCCTCTCCCGACACCACTATTAACTCTCCCCTTGTAGGTCCAGCACTTACGACTGATGAGTCCGTTCGTCCTGCATCGGTTTTGTAAGTAACATCTGCGCGTCATCGGATACCGACACCCTTAGGCATCTCGAAATCAATCTTCAAGCCTCGACGCC